GGGGGGTTGTTGGTTTTGGGGGGGGTTGTTGGTTGGTTTGTTTGTTGTTGCTGTTTTTTGTTGTTTGTTGTTGTTGTTTTTGTTTGGGGGGGTTGAGGGGGGAGGGTTGTTGTTGTTTTTTTATTTGAGTACCCTTGCCAATTGCAGGAGGTTGGCACGACTTCGCAATAACTTTCTAGGCCAGTCTGTTCATCATACAGGGTACCCACAACGGCTGGATCGGGCCGATCGCCCGACTCGATCGCCTGAAAATGAAAACAAACACGTTTGTTTTTTAGGCGATCGAGTCGGGCGATCGGCCCGATCGGCCGATCCCATCCGTAGTGGGCACCCTGTATTACAATTTGCCATGTATGTCAGTCTTCTCGACCCATTTTCAGAGCATACATTGTTGCTACCTTGTACAATCATACCGCTGTCATTCACATATTCCGTCTGGACTCAATGTCCCTTTCACCTCAAGTTGACCCTGATAGGCAGGGTCGAAACAGACCGCCCCCTTAATAGTGATATGAAACGTCTGCAGTGTTCCACTGTCTGAGTGGGCGGTTAATGGGTGCTTTCGTGTGGTCTGCTCCTTCTTTCCTCTCAAACATCTATCTTCCTTGTCTCTCCTTCTATTTTGTGTGTGTTTGTTGCTCTCTTGTAACACCTCTAATCTTGGGCGCCTATATGACCTTATTGTGTTGCAAGTGCCGTAAAACGTTTACTAAAACTAATACACTGTCTCACATTCTCACTTCCTCCTCTATGACTGTGGGTCGTTTGTGGGTGCTCTGGTGTGGTTTGCTCCTCTTTCTTTCCTATCAAACATCTGTCGTCCTTATCTCCCCTCCTTCTATTTTGCTTTTGTTACTCTCTTGTAACACCTCTAATCTTCAGGGCCTCATATGACCTTATGCAGTTTCGAGCGCCGTAAAAACTCTACTATAACTAACTAAACTCTTACTGAAACTAAAATTTCTCTATGACTCTCCTCCGTGTGTACAGGGGAAGCGAAGATCCTGGCCGGTGGTCTGACAGCTGCCCTGGTCATCGTGGTGGCCATAGCGGTGGCGCTTCCGGTGCTGCTGTGGAGGCTGCGGGTCGTCTTCATCATGAAGGTCGTCAACATCTTCAAAGATTACGAGGATGATGGTATGTTGTAGCCTACCTAGAATCTACCATTTTTGTGTGTGTGTTTGTTTTTCTTTGTCTTTGTTGTTGTTGTTGTTGTTGTTGTTTTTGTTGTTGTTGTTTATT